GTTGCCCGCAGGGGGTGGGAGATGGCGGCCCCAGCTCCGTGCGTCCCCTCCCCACACACCCAGAGACCACTCCCCTCCCACACATCCCCCGGCACTGCTGGCCCCCCCAGCACCTCTGCGGTGGTGGGGCCACCCTGCCACTGGGCTGGCTGCAGTGACAGGCACAGTGCTGGGGGGGACACCCAGGAGGTGGGTCAGGCCTTAAGCCCCACATTTTTGGGGAGATACTGCCCTGAGCTTTGCTGGATGTGGCCAGGAGGTTCTGGACAGCCTGGGGGAAGGGGCTGGGCTCCCTCTCCCCACTCAGAGAGGGGACAGTGGGGGCACACAGCTCCTCCATCACCACCTTGCCCCTCCCCGGGCTGTGCTGAGCACAGGCAGCCCGCGCTGGCTGTGCCAGCCCTACCCGTTTGGACTCCAGGTACTCCATGCCACGGGCCACCTGGTAGACACAGGAGACCAGGTCCTTGAAAGAGAGCTGCTCCTCGGGCATCGCCGTGACATCAAAAGCATAGTCGGGTGTCGGGGGGCGGCGGGCGCGGAGGTATTCGCGCAGGTTGCCCTTCGCAGCAAACTCCACGATCACGTACAGTGGCCCTGGGAAGGGCATCCACTCCGCTCAGCCCTTGCCCTGCCCTGTCTCACCCCAGCGTCCCACCTGCCACTGTCCCCAACAGCCCCATCCCCTGCTCCCGCTCCATGCCCATGCCCTGCCCGAGGCCTGCCTGCACAGCCCCCTCACCGTCCTGCGTGCAGACTCCCAGGAGGTTGATGATGTTCTTGTGCTTGTCCATGAGCTTCATCATCTCCATCTCAGATATGAGGTCAGCCAGGTCCTTGTCCGTGGCGTTGTCTGGGGAAGGAGGGCCATGTCACCGTGCCAGCTGGGGTGGCACTGCAGCCTGGCACTGATGCCACCTCTGTGCCTGGGACACTGGCAGGGGAACCACTACCTTTCAGCATTTTCACAGCCACGGTGACAGCTCTGTCTGGCCGGTCTCTGTCGATGCCATAAGCCTCTGCCCGCACCACCTGGCCAAAGCAGCCTTCCCCCAGGGGCTTGCCCAGCACCAGCCTGGCAGGGACGGGCAGAACCGTGAGGGACCACAGGGATGGCCCCACTCCCCACCACTGCACGGCCGGACCCCGAGGGGCAGAGGCGGTGTGGCTGCCCCTCTCTGGTCCAAGCCGAGTCCCAGCACCTCGGGGTACGGCAGTGCTGAGGTGTCTGGTGATGGCTGGAGTCCTCCCCATCCGTCACCCGCGTGCTGCTGTCCCTGGGGTGGATGGGGAGAGCAGCTCCCAGACCCAGACCTGCCCCACACCGCCCGGCACCGTACTTGTCTCGGGGGAACTCCCACTTGGCATCGAGGGGCAGGTCCAGCTCCATGACCCCAGCCAGCATCGGGGCGCAGCTGGAGGAGAGACGAGTGACGCGCATCAGGGACGTGCTGGACTTCCCGGAGGAGCTGGAGTCCAAGGAGAACTGCAGAGAGAGCCCAAGTGACCTCAGCCATCCCGCCCCGTGCTCTGGAGTCAGAGACCCAGTGGTGCCGCGGAGAGACCCTCACTTGGAGCAATGGGGCAAGGGAGCTGCAGGAGGCAGTGGGGAGGGCAGCCCCAAGGCTGGCAGCACGGTAAGGTGTGATGGGCGCAGGTGGCACTTGTGGAGCCAGTCAGTGGCCTAGGTCCCCCCACGCCCCCAGGGCTCCAGCCTGGCACCCACCTGTCGGATGAGTGGGAATTTGGAGAGCTTGTGGACTGCCATGGGCTCCAGGGGCTGCTTGCTTGACTGAGTCTGCATCCGGCACAGCACCACGATGATGGCGGCCATGGCCACAGCCAGCGAGCCCGAGGTGTAGATGATGATGTCCGTGTACTTGGCCTCGGGGGCTTCGGCTTCCCGCACCAGCTCCTCTTCTGGAGGGAGCAAACAAGTTGGCCTGAGCCATGGTCCCTGCGTGCCGGGGGTCCCAGCTCCCACCCCAGGACCCCCAGCCCTACCTGGCAGCACGGTGAGCCAGGCAGACTGGTAGGAGAGGCCGATGGAGTTCCCTGCCAGGCAGGTGTACTCGCCAGCATCCTCCACGGAGACGTTGCGCAGGTATAGCACCTCCACCTCGGAGCTGTTGATGTCTGCAGTCTGCCAGGGAGAGGGATGGATGGTCAGCATCCCTCCTCCTCCTCGGGAGGCCCTGTGCACCCCCCATCACCACTTTGCAGTGGGCATCTGGGACCCGGGTGCTTCCAGCCTTTGTTACCTTGAGCACTTGCACGTAGGGGACCCCGTCGGGACCGTAGCTGCTGCCGTTCACCTCGATGTGCTTCAGCCACTGGATGTGGGGCTGGGCATCGCTGTAGACCTTGCAGAAGAACTCCACATCGCTGCCCACCAGGGCCGTGGTGTTGGCGGGCAGCCCCGCCCGCAAGATGGGCCTGTGCGGGGAGCTCTCTGCGCAGAGGAAAGCAGAGCGGTGTCACCAACACGGTGGCCCAGAGCAGGGGCTCCTTTCTGCCTCCCTCTGCCCGCTGCGAACCCATGGAGAGCCTTTCCCCAGCCCTACAGCAGACCAGTGCAACCCGAGCCTGGTCTCCATCCCCACGCCCCTTGGGTGCGAGGGACATGCGGGCTGCGCCAGCAGAGACGACACAAGCAGAGGCTCCTCTGCCCCCTTCCCGGTGACCCCGACCCCTCTGCCAGGCGCGGGGGGAGCGGGGAGCCAGGACCAGCGCCATGCCACGGAGCCCTCACCCAGCACATCCAGGAGGTAGCTGTAGCGGATGCTGCCAAACCTGTTCTCCACCAGGCAGGTGTAGTTGCCGCGGTCGGAGGGCACCACGCTCTCCATCACCAGGCTCCAGTGCTGGTGCCGGAGCTGCAGAGGGGGGAGGTAAGGCGGCGAGGTGTGATGCGGGGGCCAGGCCCCAGGAGTGGAGGCTGCGGCGGGGGACCCTGGCCCTTACCCGGATGCCCCCGATGCGGTGCTCCCCCCGGAACTCGCGCCCATTCTTGAACCAGCGAATGCTGGGGCTGGGGCTGCCCGAGGCCGGACAGCGAAACTTCACCGTGTTCCCCGCGGGGACTGCGTACAGCTTCTTGTCCATCCGGTGCGGGTGAGTCCAGTAAGGAGCTGGGGAGACATGGGATGTACAGTGGGAGGGGGCCAAGGGGCAGCATGGAGGCTGCTGGAGCTGCTCCCAGCCGCTCGTGCTGTGAGCAGGAGGCAGCAGTGCCCCATGCGAGGCCCTGTCCCGAATGGCCTCAACTGGGGGCAGGCAGGGCCCCGCGCTCCTGGGCCTGCCCCAGCTGCCCTCTCCTGTCCGGGGCAGCACTGACCTCTGTGCACGTAGACAGGCTCACTTCGGTCTCCGTGGGGACCGTCCCCATCACTGTCTTCATCGTCATCACCTGACGCCAGTGAGTCTGTAAGGGAAGATGGGTTGAGAGGGACATCCCCACCTGCAGGGCTGGGCAAAACATCTAAAGAACTCATCCAAAACGCAGGCAGGCAGCGGCTGCCTTGCTGCCCCAGGGGGGAGCTGGGTGCTGCTGGGGCTCCTACCCACGATGGAGATGGTGAAGTTACGCAGGATCTCCCCAGTTTCCCGTGCCCGGCACACGTAGAGTCCTGAGTCCTCATAGGCAACCTCCGAGATCTCCAGCAGGCTCTGCCGGAGACGGATACGACCCCCCGGGACGAGCGGCCGGGACTCCTTGTACCAGACCACGCTGGCACCGCTCTGGTTGGCATCACAGTACAGCTTCAACGCATTGCCTGGGTCCAGCAGGAGATGTTCCTCTTCTGACTCCAGCAGCGGGCTCTCAAACAGCTCTGGAGAGATGTTGTGAGTGCCTGGCCCTGCGCTCACCCCTCCCCGACAGCAGGACCCCGCCACACGCCCACCCCAGTGCAGAGAGCACGCGGTGCAGCACGTCCTGGTGCCTGGCTCTGCTGCCCCAGAGGCGGGTGAGGGCTGGACTCTGCCCTGGGGCGCAAGGACGCAGCTTCCCCAGCGGCGTGTCCCTGTCCAAGGCCACACATGCCACCGTCCTTCCGCATGGGCCACTCAGCAGCGCAGGGTGCCTGAGCCTGTCCTGCCTCACTGAACGCAGCACAAGGGCACCAAACCCTACCGGCCACCCACCGTCGGACCTCCACATGCCCCAAGCATGTCTGGGACCCCCAGCCCTGGCTGGCCCTGGTGATGCCTGGGCTGGGCAGCAGTGCCC